TCGGACAGGGGCGAAAAATCTCGAGGTCCCGTTTGCAAGTTATGCTCATTAAAGATCCCTTGGTGGTCCAAAATTGATAAGAGTTGGCTTCGGCTGCCACCCGGACAAAATTCAAAATTTCCCACCAACTGAAAACGTTTGGTATGTTCCGCGCACTCATATGACCTTATGCAGTTGCGATCGCCCAAAAACACTAACCAATGTAAAAAATGTAAGAGAAATTGAGATGACGTGTGAGCTTATGAGAGTATATTTTAGAATAGGAGGTGTTACATACGTGCGTAAAGCGGTTTCCTACGAACACTTAAAAAAAAAAAGAAGAACATGACAACCCAATTCCAACTTCTTCTCTTCTCCTCGGCCTTCGAGTCTTTCTTCTATCCCCTTCTCTCTCTTGCCCTTTTTAACTTCCAGTGGAGCATAGGCCATCAACAATATTTCTCCAGCGAAGCCTGTCCTGTGCATCCTTTTCTAGCTGTTTCTATGATGTCCCCGCCTTTTCCATTTCCGCTTGTACCACTCGCCCCCAAGTCATCTTTGGTCTTCCTTTCTTACGTTTTCCTTGTGGATTCCACGTCAAAATCTGTCTGGTGATGCTTGTCGAATGTCTCCTCAGAGTGTGCCCAATCCATTTCCATTTCTTCACCTGTAGTATGTCTTCCTGTACTGGCCTTTGGCTAGTTCTTTCCCACAGTTGAGCATTTGTGACTCGATCGTACCACTTGCTCTCCACTATCCTTCTTAGGCATCTATTTATGAAGCTCTGCAGTCTCCTTGTTGCTGATGCTGTGAGCCTCCATGTCTCTGAACCATACAGTAGAACAGTCTTCACGTTTATTTTGAAGATCCTCAGCTTGGTGTTCAATCCCAGTTCCTTAGACATCCATATATTCCTGAGGATTATGAACGCTGCTCTTGCCTTTTGGTTTCTGACCTTGATGTCTTTGTCTGTTCCCCTGCCTTGTTGATGACTCTTCCCAGGTAGGCGAAGGATTCAACATCCGCCAATGCTGCACCTTGCAGTGTGATAGGAACATCGGCGGCATTCATTCAAAGAACCTCCGTCTTATCCGTCTGAATATGGAGTCCAACACTAGGGGAGACGGTCCTGAGGCGATCTGTCTTCTGTTGCATCTGGGTTCGACTGTGAGATAAGAAGTGCCAAGTCGTCGGCAAAGTCCAAGTCTTCCAACTGACTGAAAAGGGTCCACTGTATGCCACCACGTTGTCCAGATGTTGTCTGTCTCATTATCCAACCCACTGCTAATAAAAAAGAGAAAAGGAGATAGCAGGCATCTCTGTCTCACTCCTGTTTTCACTTCAAACGAGTCTGTCTGCTGCCCTCTTAGTAAGACACTGCAGCTCCAGAAATGGCGGTGGTGTTGTTTTTGCTGTTGGTGTTTTTGTAGCTGCTTTTTTGTTTTACGGGAAAGGGCCGCTAACCCTTTGCCCAACCAACCTTAGTCGCCTTCTACCACATGCGCGGTACCGAGTACCGATACAGTGGTCGTATTCTTCCAAGAGACAGGGCCCCGAGAACCACACGGATGTCTTCCTCTATGATATGTCTATCTGTTTCTTTCGCACGCACTCCTGCTTTCTTTTTCTCTCTTCACTCCCCCCCCCTCTCTCTCTCTCCCTCTCTCTCTCTCCCTGTCTCTCCCTCTATCTCCCTCTCTCTCACTCTCTCTCTCCTTTCGTCTATCGAACCATCTGACTCCCTTTCTCTCTCTCACACTCCTTCTCCTTGATCTGTCTGTATAATATAAT